CCCGTCGCTCGGAGGCCGCCCCGCCAGAGGCGAGGCCTCCCCCGGGCGCAGAGGAGCGACACGGAGGCTGCCGGCGATGCGAGCGGAGACGTGCGTAATGAGGACGCGCAGGCGAACGGAGCGCCTTCGAGCGAGGAAGAGGGGGGGCATGCAAGGAAAAGGGCAGGAGGAATGGAAGGGGAAGTGATGTGCAGAAGAATGAAGGGTAGGCGATGGTGAGGGGGCAAGGGACGAGGGAGGCAGCTGGGTGGAGGTGAGGGTGATAAAGAGTCGAAAGCAATTTTTGAAAGGCTATAAAAGAGTGCAGAGGAGGACAGGATATGAAGAGAGAGGAGGAGGGAGGGGAGTATGAGGGGAAAATAGCAGAGGAAAGTAATGGTGAGGTTGGCATGTGGTGAAGGGGAGGGCCGAGCAGTGGGGAAAAACGAGCCGAGCGGTGGTGAGCTTAATGAAGAGGCGGGAGGGAACTAAGCGCCTTCAATGGAGGATGGGGAAAGAGATCGAGAGGAAAGGGAAGGGAGCGCGAGGAAGGGGTGGGAGTGAGGGAGTGAGGGAGTGAGGGGTTGGGGTGGAGGTGAGCGTAATGAGGGGGCGAAAGCGAGGCAAGCGCCTTCGCCGGGCGCAGGACGAGGAATGGGAAAGGGAGGGGGAGGGGGCGTGCCACTGCGCCTTCGACACAACGGAGCTCAAAGGCCGTGAGGGGGAGGGGCGTTATCAACATTCCAAGGTAACAATGCCTCCTGCGAGAGACGAGTATATGAACCCGACACGAAGAGTGGAAGGGAGAAGAATTCGTCGTTTTTGTGCTCTGAGATATGTCATTATTCCGAGTGGTGAATACACAAGCACAATGAAGCGAGTCTCTTCAATAACTGGACCGCAGTCTGACGTTCTGCCCGAGGGATTTATGATCTCTGTCGCTCAGAGTGAAAGACATCGGGCTGGTGATGGGTTTTCTTGGAGATCCTGTGTACATTCTTCTTCTCATTTCTGCGTTTCCCAATCGTCAACGTCTGTATAACAATTACTGTTGGATTCGAGATGGCATTCTGCATTTTCTAAATAACAGTTTTGAAAATAGCTTCATAGCGGGTATGAAATTTAAACGGTAATGGCATTATAGGACTAGTACTACGATAGATTACCATTTTGTAACCCTAAGCGCTTAAGAAACAGGGAAAGTTAGGTACGTGAGAATAACTTGCACCCAATATCAAAAAGCCATAAATTACTAGTATGTCTATAATAATAAATTTACATAGATTTTGAGATCATTTTTGTAGCTGACCCCACATGCTATAGAGTATAAGAAAGTATCAATCCGGCTCATGAAAAAGAAGACGAATGTTCAAGAATGTCTATATCCTAATAATGGGGCGATGTAACCTAAATAGAAGCTCATTTACTCCTCTGCATGTTTGTCTGTATTTGCCTCCTCTCCGTATGTTCCTAGCATGTTCCCAATGTGTTATTCGCACTTCCCCGAGTGATCTCCACATGGTCCGCGGTGATTATTTTTGCAAGCATATTCTCCTATGAAACACTCGTAGTTTCGAGGGAACCTCTGCTTAAATACACGTTTTTCTCTACTGGCGGCAGCCAGCGCGTTCTTCAGCCGCGGCCACCATATACGAAGTCGTGACCACTTTTATTTTTTCGTATGGCCACTCGGTGGCGAGCGGCTGGCTGGAGCTGAGCGCATTCCAGCTATACCTTAAGGCGGTATTCGCCGAGAAGCGAGCTCCTGCTTGGCCAATCCCGAGCAGCTTGTGTGTTCGGCGAATGTTCTCTCCCTTTGACGTGTCCGAAAGAGCGACATGCGTAGGTGAGTAGAGCGAATACCGAATGTACGGAGCTCGGCGAATCGCAAGCAACCCGTCCATACTACTCGGGATTCGGCGAGCAGTTGCTCGGGATTCGCCGAACGCCGCATGTGTGAAGCCACCTTTACATGTTCAGCGCCTTGAGACGGACATGCGGTGACTAGGGCAAATACCTAATGTTCGGCGCTCGGCGAATCGCAAGCAAACCATCCACACTACTCGGGATTCGGCGAGTGGTTGCTCGGGATTCTCCGAATGCTGCATGTGTGGAGCCACCTTTACATGCTCAGCGCCTTGAGACTGACATGTGGTGACTAGGGCAAAAACCTAATGTTTGGAGCTCGGCGAATCGGAATCAACCCGTCCACACTGCATGTGTAGGGCAGCCTTGACGTGGTCAGCGCCTGCGGCGTTGACGGAGACTCACATTTGACGTCGATGTCGACGGAGAGCGGCTGGCTGGAGCCGAGCGCGTTGTGCGCCTGGCAGGAGTAGGCGCCGGAGTGGGCGCGCGCCAGCGGCCGGAACGCCAGCACCTCGTCCACCGCCGCCACCTCGGGCCGCCCCGCGCGCCGCCACATGACCTTGGCGGGCGGGTTGGCGTCGGCGGCGCAGCGCAGCTCCACGGTGTCCAGACCCTCCTCCAGGTCGCCCACCGGCGCGCCCAGCAGCTTCACCTCCGGCGGGTCTGAAACACACACACACACACACGCGCGCGTGCATTAGGACGTGTCGCAATATTTCACATATAGGCAAGGCCTGGTTTTACGGGTGTTTTGCTTCTTGTAGAGTAAATATGCTATTTTTATCTTGTCGGATTCTCTCAGTTTCCAAGAGGAGAAAGTTGTAGTCTTATTATGAACAAATGAATAAGAAGAATTTATTGTATTTTATTGAAGTGTATTACATTTGACTAAATGAAAGCGTACGATTATGCTTCGTAAGAGTGAAGGAATAAAAACAATTATTGACAAACCCACAATTCTGCATGTATTTGCACGTGTGAGTGCTCTTGCAAGCGCTTCCGTGGCCTTGCCACGGAAGCGCATAGAGCGCGGCCCGCTTCCCCTGCGAGGAAGTGGCATATGCAGTGCGTGAGCGACTGCGCTATTCGCCGCTCGCTTGTTCCGGAAAGCGCCTTGCTCTACGAGGGAACCGCAATTCCGGGCGACGGCCGGACGAGCGGGGCCCACCGAGAGACTGCGGGGGAGGCGGAGATGGGAGTGGCGGTGACGGTGGCGTTGGCTCTCCGTGTATAAGTGACTGTGGCGTTGGCCATGACTAGCGGTCGCAGTGGGCGGCGGGCAGTGCAGCCGGGACGGCGGGGATTGGCGGGGCGGGGCGGAGCGGGGCGGA